AATTTGTCCATGTAAATGGTCTTCCTAACTCACTAAGGTTAATTATGGAGTTCCACAAGGTTCCATGCTAGGACCACTTCTCTTTAGATTACACACTGTTTTTCAGGCTTCCCTTAGAGCTACGTATTATCTGCATAGCAATGAAAATGTGTGCTCTCACTCCACACAACACATATTAAAACATTCCTGCAGTTTAACAGCAGAAATGTCTTAAAAGCTTAAAGGCCAGATGACTTCGGCCTTCAGTGACACTGTGAGGGCTCCTGAAATAATTTTTGACTAGGACATGTTCTTCAGTGTTCACATTAATGCACAAATAGAAGACACACCAATTAGTTAAACTCCAGAAATGTCTTTAAGACGTAAAGGCCTGGCCTCCCATTTTCTGCTTCTAAATTCAGATAAAACTCAAGTTATTCTACTTGGCCCTTAAATTCTCAGAAATATGGTATCGAACCAGATGCTTACTCTGGGTGGCATTACCTTGGCCTCCAGTAACACAGTGAGAAATCTTGGAGCCATGTTTGACCAGGCTATGTCCTTCAGTGCACATATTAAACAAATATATGGGACTGCTTTCTTGCATTGGCACAATAGCTCTAAAATTAGAAACATTCTGTCTCAGAATGATGGAGAAAAACTAGTTAATGCATTTATTACTTCTAGGCTTGACTACTCCAACTCATTATTATTAGGTTATCCTAACAACCCCTTGAAAAGTCTTTCAGCTGATCCAAATTGCTTAAAGGCCTCCTTTACCACCTTGTAAACACATCACTACTTTCCATCCACTGTTTCCTCTAATAATAATAATAAAGCATTTTATTTTAGGGCACCTTTCAGAAACCCAAGGTCACCTTACAAAAAACAAAATTAATAAAAGGAACAGTAGTCACAAAATACATAAAATAAGTTAAAATTACAAAACAAAGCTTGACAACAGATAAAATCAGCATTAAAGCGAATAAGCCGGTTTAAACAGATGTGTTTTGAGCTGTGTCTTAAATACGGAAAGGGAGTCAATATTTCTTAGTGCAGGAGGAAGAGAGTTCCAGAGCCAAAGAGCAGAGCGACTGAAAGCTCTGTTCCCCATAGTGATAAGGTGAGAGGAGGGAACGGTAAGATGAATAGCAGATGATGATCTGAGTGGCGGGAAACAGTGGTGATATGGAGCAGGTCACACAAATATGAAGGAGAAGATTTATGGATACATTTGTATGTAAGAAGTAAGATTTTAAAATTTATCCTGGCTTCTGCTGAAGAACTGGGGTAATATGAGCTCTTAACGGAGTGCAAGTTATGACCCGAGCTGCAGAATTTTGAAGAAGTTGGAATTTATGAAGGGAC